CAAAATCCTTCACACAGTGAGGGCCAGATGCCCGCCAATGTGTCTGGAGGGTGGAGTGGGACTGGAAGACGAGGAAAGAGGACTGGATAGGACAGGCATGATCAAAGAAATGTGAAAAACAGGAGGAATCTTTAAATAATCTGGCTGCTTGAGGCAAACCGCAGAGCGACTGAGCACTGCCTGGTTTCCAAATGGACCAATGAATCTGGGAGAGAGTTTAGGATTAGAAGCCTTTAGGTTAATGTCACTAGTTGATAGCCAAACCCTTTTTTCCAGATGAGTACTGAGGAGCACGAATTCTCCAATTGGGCAGATGTTTCTTAGTTTCCACTGGTCTGCTTAAGGCAGAAACCGTCTGCAGCGCCAAATGTGTTTTTTTGAGAGAGGTAACTGCATTATCCTGCTTGTCAGAAGGAAACAGAGGGGATTGGTATCCTAGTGAGGACTCAAATGGAGACAGACCAGTAGTAGAAGAAGTGTGACAATTATGTGCATATTCGACCCAAACCATTAGATGGTGGTAGTCCAGTAACAAAATCCAAAGCTATATATGACCATGGATGTTTTGGGAAAGGCAATGACTGAAGAACATCCCTGCGAGGCTGCTGATCTGATCAGCTTTGTTGCGAGCGCACACTGGACAGACTAGAACATAGCTTTTAATATCCTTATATATTAAAAACCCCACAATGCAGGAAAGTTGAATGACAGTTCAGATATCTGGTTCCTGGTCACTGGAGTATTGCCTAGACAGGACATTGGGTCTGGTGTTTTTAGACCATGGATTGTAAGAGATGACAAAGTTAAAATGGAAAAAGAACAGAGGCCAATGTGATTGTCTTGGTCTCATTTAATTTTATCTTCCTTCACCGCTTTAGTCTTGTTTCTCTGTTGACAATTTTATTAATCAATTCCATCATAGTTATTGTTATTTCAACTGACTTCTTTATTCACTTGATCCTAATTTATCCCAGAAATACTTTCTTTATATTGTAACAGAAAAATAAAACCTGCTCTTAAACCCGTTTTAAAACTTTGATAATTACAATTTTATTTCCCTTTGGAAATAATACAGATTTTACACTGAATTTAATCTATTAAGTGAAGTGCACCAGTCCCTCTAGCAGCAAAATAACTCCTAATGTAGCAATGGTCATAATGGCACTTCTGTTACATCAGACGCCTGAACATGTCTCAGAAAATCAACGCCCCTGCAGAGCTTAAGATTAAAAATGTTTAGTCTGACAGAGAAAGAGTGAGTGACATTAAAGTGACATTAGTGCATCAAAGCAGTATGCTAAATGCCCCCTAGATAAAGTAAGGTTTATAATATAATTATAAAAGCACTGAAATGCTAAAGAATGTTTTATAACAGTGGTGTGTAAAGACATCTGATTTGAGTTCAGAGATAACAGCCTTACAAAATGCATGACATATAATAAATAAATAAAAAAATTCTAATCAGGAGACAGAGAGAAAATGAGTTTTTTTTTTTGTTTTGTTTTTATCAGAGTAAGATAGAAATATTTCTATACACACAAAAACCTAGAAAGATCTTCCAAAGATGTTCAACTCTTAAAATACATCACACATTTATGACTATATTAGTGTCTACTCTAATGACACCTGCAGCAAAGAGCAGCATAGAGTTCAGAGTGAGCTCCAATTGTAGGATCAGGGCGGCAAATAAGGACTATTGGAGGAAGATGGAGAACTGGCATAGAACAATGTCAGAGCTGTGGAGAGATCATCAGCAGGGCTGCAGTCAGAGACACCAAGTTTGATAACGAGTTAAACAGGTTTTCACCTGGTTATACTCAATAAAATTAATTTTGGCCCAACTCAACTGAACAGTAACTGATTTAAACAAAAACTGACCGAATGATAAAGAACAGAAGCTGCTTAAACAGGGGTGGAATAACCTAACCTTGCCAAATAAAGGAGGCACAACATAACGTAGAAACAGCAAATAAAATAAAAAAAAATCCATACAAAACTAAAATGTACTGAACAAACAAAACAACTCTTTAACTTACAGTAGCACACATGATAAATTAATATTAAGGTGACAAAAAAAATGCATTTGTAGAACCTTAAAGAAATGTATGGTGTGAATTAAACCATTCAGATATATTAACTAAAGTGTGCACCCATTAGACAATATACATCTAAATGGAGTAAACTAAATCTGGAACTAAATAAGAACTATGAAACTATACAAACACTTTGTGGTGGAGGTAGAAGGATCAGACCCCAATTGGTAATAGCAATATTATTGAATAATGAGAAACTATTAATATACCGTTGAGATTCAGAATGATATAAGTAAAAAGGAGAAGTAAACAAAGGGAGTCTAGTTACCTGCTGTGGCAAGAGTTCTCTAAAACGAATACCTTGCCCTCTCAAATCAAACCTGCCCAAAGTTAGTGAACATCACAGGTTCTGCTGTGCATGGCTCTTGGAGGGCTTGGATCTTCACCTCAACCAGCAGCCAGTGGAGACCAAACCAGTGATCACCATGCAAGAGCCAATAAGAAGGCTGACCTGACAACCTAGCTGAGAGGAAAAGCCAGATCGATAAACTTTAAGAGAGCTGAAGAGTTCCATGAAATTCATTATAGTGATTTATGGTGTTGACACTTTATAAGTTGTTAACTGTATAAACAGATGCAAGTACAACATCTATTGTTTGAAACAACCGGAGAATGGTTTGTTGTTTATTTCCAGAGCCTGTCAGTGGATCTGTTTCTCAAACACTGACTGGTGCATTACTGAGAAACAACTGAGAAAGACCCACCCACCTGCTAGTTTTTATGCTGTTATTTAAAATATTATAAGCATTTTTTTACTAAGATTCTCTTATTTTCCTCTCTTGGGATTCAGTAGCCTGTGTTCCTCTGCTTTTATTTTCTCTTTTTTGATTTGACTAATAGAAACCTGATTTGAGGAGTCAAATTTTCAATCAGCACATGCGAATCATCAATACTGTTCATTGATCCTGCTTAAGAAATGGTTGATATTTTTTGTATTGATTTCACTTTTCTGTCATTATTGCTATCAGACTGAATTTATAGTGACCAGCAGGAGCTTGGATTCAGGTGGGACACTAAAGCTAGGCAGGTCAGATCTTAGAGTAGAGGCCTGACAAAGCACAAATGATTTTTGTAGAGTTGGACACTATTTCATTTTGTTTTATTTTTATCTCATTCAAAATATAATAAATATTGAATAATTAATGTAAAAACTAAAAGAAATAAAAAATAAAAAATAGCAAGAAAGATGTAGAAACGTATATACCCTGTTCACATAAAGAGAGAATTAGCAGTTTGCTCAGAAAACTAATAAACTAAATAAACAATAAATTTATACCCTTTGTCTTTAATGCATCTTTATTATTTTTTTATTCATTATCCCTGTCTCATGTAGAAAACACAAATAAAAAAAAAACAATGAATATGCTGGAGAATATGTATAGATGAAGGTGCCACCATCATATCCGCTATCCCCCCTCCCCATCCACCCCATCCCTCAAAGCTCTGGGAAGTACACACACAGACATCTCTGTTCATAATGCAAAAGACTTTAGTGAGTCCTTTATCAGTTTAAGGCCTTAAGGTTGCACGTCTTATTCCTACAAGCTGGGATTAAATCCTGCCATTTGATTTGACCTGGAGGGAAAAAGAGCTAAAGTGTGTCATATCTGAAGGCAGCTCAGCCTAGACATGAAATAGCTTTTAGCAACATCGTTGTCTACAGAATTTTACACTAAGGAGCAAGTATCCCGATGCACATTGACACAGCACCAGAAAAATAACATTATGATAATGAATTACAGCCGTTTACTTCCTCCTCACTAATGGATGTGTCTTATTATAACAGGGCTTAGAGGGACAGCAGATCACAACTCTTTTATTAATGTTTCTCATAACACCTGAGCTTAGTCCAGGCTAAGAAGTCCATCCGAGACATATACAAAGATAATAAAGCGTGATCTTTCACCACATTTATTTTTCTAGGATATACACTGTGTCTGTCTGTATTATCGTGTGACTCATTTTAAGACTAAAAGTATGTATACAACTGTTTTATTCTACCATTTACTCAATTTGATGTCTCATGTTGTTTTTATTGGCAATACACCGGATCTGGTTTGAAACTTTGACAGAGGAATTACTCTTTGCAGGCTAATAAAGATTTTTCCTTCAGACTTTAAGTTAAACCCTGAAAATCAGAATTTTTTTTTTTTCTGAATTTCACTCTATTTTCTATATTTTCTACTTGGATCAAGCAGAATAGTAAATGGAAGTTCTTGTTTCACAGAGAGCATTAGTGTTGCTGCTGTAGACTGAACCCCATCCATCAGCAGGAAGCCTGTTACTAAGCCTCAGACAATGCTGACATGATTTACGGGATCAATAAATTATCACATTTCCCTATTCTGAGCAAGTCTAATTGATATGCAAACACTTGTAGCTTTCTGAGCATTTAATTAGTTAATTCAGCCATGCAGCTGCACATTGACAAAGTTTATTACACTCACACAGATCTGAAGCCAGAGTGGTTTCAGATTTCCTGTTCCATAACAGAGCGCTTTTATTCATTTTCATTTACATTTAATAAACATGCAAAACATCTATAAATACAATTTTTTTAATAAATAAACAATCAACAAATAATAAGAAAGAAAACATCACTTACAGACAAGAAAATATATAACACAGATATTAAACACACTGATGCTTTTCTCAGGAAATATTTTTTGAACAAAGAGGACATTAAATATACATTAGATGTAGGTAATAACTCAGGTTATCAAGACGTGTAACAAGATCAAAAGAAAAAATACCATAGTTTATCAGTGAGAAAGAAATATCTTGGAAAACAAGCCCAGATCATCTTTAATGAAATTTATTTGGCACATCTTTAATATTAATAATAATAATGACAATAAAAGCTTGATGATCTTAATAATAATAATAATAATGACAATAAAAGCTTGATGATCTCTCCTGTGTTGAGAAACTACCACCATGCTTTGTGCAGGTGGGATGTTGACCCATTCTTTCACACAAATTTGTCTTCCTAAAGATTTCAGGTCATTCTAGATAACTGGCTTTTTTTATTACCTGCTTTATTGTCTTTGAAGTGATTTCCATTTCTGAACTCTTTTGTTTCTAGTAATCCTTTTTTTTGCTACATGAAGTCTGCCAGTAGCTTATGGTGATAAAAACCACCTGCCATGATGTTTCCACCTCTTAATTTCACTGTTGAAATGGTGTTTTGGGGATTTGAGTGACATTTTTTCTCTCAACAGGGTTTTTTTGCACTGATGGATTCAGACCCAACTATATTGTTCAAGTATAATGTTTTCTGCTGTGAATTTGCTCTGACACCAATAAGGTTGAGTGCTACTTACTGTTTTCCTGTATTCACAGATCTCTCTGAAAGCACTTAGTTGGTGATCCTCAGTTCTAGGAAAACTCCTCTGAGGTACTTTGTCTCTTTTCTCAAAAAATCTTGCAAAGAGCACTCAGTCATGCCTGGTTTATGGTGAAATTATGATCGTTACAAATCAGGATTATAGCAGTACTTACTGGAATATTCAGACGGTTTTAAACCTCTATCCATTTCCATCAGTATGTTCTCAAACGTTTCAAACGTCTCAAGTAAGGCGTTAGCTTTTTCTTATCATTAAATCCTTTCTAGAAATCAGAACTAAACAAACAGGAACTCATTTATTTTTTTTTGTAAAAGATGATGCCAGAATCTAGCTTGTTTCTTAGTTTGTTATGTCTTTTTGCATCCATTTTCATTAAGTTGCAGCTAATTATTCCTTCTTTTATTATATTTGATTAGATTCAAATTTTGGACCAATTTGGGTTAGTTTGTATGTGTAATTTGTGCTTTGTATTCAACATCAATGGGGTATTTTAGGGCATTTGCCTTTTCAAACATAATTTTACAGAGAAAAATAAATGTATTATGATTATCTTCTTTTCTGTATGTAAGAACCAATCATCACTGGCACAGATAAGTATAGAAGAATGTCAGGAACATGATAAAATAGTTGCAAGGAAATCAGTAAGAACACATGACAATAAGGCCAACCTGGCAGCTAATCAGTCTCTGTCTCTGATAAATACTTTTTATGTAGTCATACTATAAGCAACATTGCATTCACAGTACAGCACGATCATGGCGACTGTTTTTTGTTCTTATATACAGGACATTTCAAGCAATCTATTTCAAAAACAAGTTGATGACTTCGTTGTCATTGTACATTCATCTGCTACTAGCATGAAGGAAATGAAAGCTTTATTATTTGAAGCTCACAATGGTTCAAGGAGGACATGAAGGACGTATTTTGAACTGACGTAAGATCCTCGCTGGAAAAAAAATCTAATAAAATCGGTTACATGTTGTGATCATTTCTAAACTGATAGTTTCATTTTCCTTTCATTTCCTTTCCACATACACAGCATTTTCCTCAGCCTCAGTCTTGCTTAGTCAATGATCAGGACCCTCTGATTCAGAAGTTATATTCAGCACATCTTATGTTTTCCGAATAGTTCCTGCAAACAATAGTAAAAGTATTGGAGAACTGAAGGATGGAAGCGATGAAAGCTTGGAGCTAACTAACCTCATCACCTTACAGGGAACAATATTCTAAAACATAACAGTTAGATCATTCAAGTTAATCTGCAAACTGTGACCTCCCAAAGCATTACATCCAAACACTAAAATCTTCTATTTTATACATAAATTGTTTAATTTAGTGTAAAACATGGTCATTCTGAAATTAAAGCGTTTTATTTGATCAATAAATCAATCCCATCCTCATCAGCTACAAAATTAATTCATTCTGAAATTATGTTTTAAAGGGAAACTTTCATCATTTCAACGTTCATTAAACTGTTTTGTTGCTAGAAAGCCTATAGATCTCAAAGGTAGGGTCATAAAGTGGGGCGACAGTGGGATAGGATGCAGGCTCTTCCTGCTCTGTCAATTTGGTGGTCAGAAGGCGCTGCAGTTCAACACTTCTGTCAGGGTGCCTCAAGGCAAATGTGACTATAATGTACTTTGCCACCAGCAGTGTGTGAACGTGTGTGAATGATTGAATTCAAAGAGTTTTGGGGTCCCCTGAGTTGAAAACAATAAATGACATTCTGCTTTTCCACTGTATTTCAAAACAATCCTTTTTTTTTATTTTTCTGAGACATTGAGGGCTTTTAGAAGCAGGTGGATACTGGACAAACCAGATACTGTGTGGACTGATGGCATCGTATAACGAACAGCAAGCAGTAGTATTCTGGAGATAGGTGAATTTGTTTACAGCCGGTGCAGGTCAAAACGTATGTTGCTGTTATATCATAATTTTGTGTGGATTGATTTGAAAGCAATGATCTCCAACTATAAAAATCAGAACTGTTTTACTGGTGTTTGATAATTGCTCTTACATCTCTCCTGGGAAATCTAATAAACTTGTCTTTATATTGTTTCCTAAATAACAACAACCTGGAGCAGAGGGCTTAAGAAACTGAATTATCTCTGTTTATCCCTTTAGTTTATCCCTTTAATTTAACTCTATTTTTGTATGAAATATACACTTTAAACCACCTCAACTGGCGTGTATCCCTTTAGTCATGTACAAAAAACTATTTAATTACTTACTTTTTGGTGTTTTTTTTAAGTGTATGGCAATCTGACCATTGTTTTTATTTGTACATGACAAAAGGGATACACTTCGAGGTAGATTAAAGTCTATTTTTGTTGTACAAAAATAAAGGGATAAACTCAAATCTGATGTCTTGCGCATGCGTTATGACTATAGGTATGCTGGTCTGACGGGGTATGCTGATCTGAAAGAACACCAGCAGCAAACACATTATTCCCGAAGGCTTCGGATAACACTTCTGGAATAAATCCCAGGTCCTGACAGTGCAGGAGATCCCATTTTGCAGGTCTTCAACAAAGGGTCCTGACAGGGCAGGTCTGCAGAACAGACTCTCTTGAAAAAACTTTTGGACTTTCAAACTAGCACACTTCTAGTTTATTAAGTGTAAAAGCTTGTGGTCAATGTTTTTCTAGACATCCTTGTCATAGGACAAACCACTATTTACATCTTCAAAATATGAGCTAACATTTTTGAGATTGAGATTTCAATACCATTACTCTCTTCTCCAGTAGTGATGTGCTAGCAGATGTTTAATAGGTACCACCTGGTGTTCAAAAGGTTTGGTGTCATAAGGGTCCCGGCAGCACAATTAGTATTTTTACGTCTCTCATCCAATAAGTAAGATACTAAATCATAAAGCACAGAATGCAGTTTTTTTTTAGTTTATATAAAAACATTAGATAAACACTATGGCAGCCTATGTGGAACTTTTAAACCGTTATTTATTTTTGCTGGGTTAAAAAATAAAGATTGGTGGTACTCCACCTTTTGATTCTTTATGATGTAATGTCTTAAAAGCTGGTAGGATTTGTGCTAAAATCATATCAGGGTAATATCAGGATTAAGCAATTCTCAAAGCTGCAATATCTGTATCATATTGAAAATGTTATCTCAAGACGTTCCTAGTAAGCAGCATTTGTTCTGATGAAAAAGAGGTATATGAAGCTGAAATATGCACTTCAGTTTTGCCAGACTGCAAACTAAAAATAGTAGGGCCTGGATGGTGTTTTCACCAAGCACAACTGATGGCTGAGTTGCACTTATACTTTATAATGATAGATGTTCTGCCCAAGATCTTATCTGCACAAACAATGAAAAATAAAACAAGCAGGTTATAAAACCCCACCAGCAGCACAGTGGCTGGATGGGACTCCAATGCGATGATTGCACTTCAGCATCTTCCGCAGCTCTGTGCGGAAGCGATCGTGTAGCCATGCGTAGAGGAATGGGTTGCAGCAGGAGGAGCTCATGGCGCAGAGATGGCACAGCAGCTGAATGAGTAAAAAGTATTGCTTGTTTATCAGGTGAATGTCAATGTCCCTCAGTACGTTGAAGACATGGATGGGAAGCCAGCAAATTGCAAAGGCAGACACGAGGAGAGCAACAAGGCGAAATATCTTCCTCTTTCGGGCTTGGTGAACATCCACCTGGTCTTGTGACCTGTTTCCAGGGGCAACACACTTCTTCAGCTTGACTGTGATACAGAGGTAGGAGACAAAGACGGCCGAAAGGGGGAGGACGTATGTGATCAGCAATGTGCTGTAGGCATAGGCCCGTCTTTCCTTCTCCTGGCCAAACCAGAACTCTTCACAGATAGTGAAGCCTTCCTCTTTGAACTCAACATGGTAGGTGTGAGTTACAGCCGGAGCCACGAGGCCACAGGAAAGCAACCAAATTCCAGTGAGGACATAGGCGCAGGTGGCCACAGTAGTCCTCTTCTTCAGAGGGTGAACTGTGGCATAATATCTGCAACGAAGGAGAGCAATGCTTTATATTCCTCAGCTGGATAAAGGCATGGTTCATCAGGGGTGAATAAGTGAATAAATGCTAAGGTGAAAACCCTTCAAGCATGATTAAACCCAAAGTTCAAGTCCGACGATCAGATAGTGGAAAAATGTAAAATGGCTTAATTAGCCCTGAAGCTGTTTCAATGCATCTAATAAGATATGACATACTTCCCAGTCAGACAGCTAGCTTTATGCTGAGCAATCTCTATGACCTATTATTTTTAAGTAAAAAGACTGGCAATTTTTTTTTCTAACATTACCACTGAACACAGTTGGGCTAAGGAACAGGAAGATGTACTTGATTTTAAATTGATCCCCTTAGAAAAGAGAGACAAAGAACCTTTATTAGAGATAACTAAAGGAAAGCCAAATGAGAGATAGTTCTTTTAACCTGACACCTGCTTTTTTGTTTTAGTTTTCTGCACTTGTTCCCTTTAAGAACATTAAAATTTTCAAGTATTTGACTAATCTTGCTTTAAGTTTTTTTGTCATGTTAACACCTCGAATAAGCCAGCTGATTGGAAATTATTGAGTCTCTTCTTACACCAATAGAGGGTGTTTGCTTTTGCGTAATTTATAAAAAAGGTTTTGATTGGCATAGATTCTTTGAAGATGCGGTCTATTTCTGACTAGCATAATGGTGCAAATGAAAATAACATTCTCAAAGTTGTGATTGTTTGCAGGTAGAATCACCCACCTGTCCACAGCAATAGCTGTGAGCGTGAAGACGGAAACGTACACTGTGACTGGTTGAATTAGGAACACCAAGTAGCACATAGAGCGGCCAAAAACCCAACCGTGTGGATTGAAGGCATAGGCCAGAGTGAAGGGGACACATGTCACACACATGAGCATGTCTGAGAACGCCAGGTTCCCAATGAAGAAGTTGGTGACATTGTGCATTTTGCGTGTTCGGCAGATGACATAAAGGAGCAGGTAGTTCCCTATGACGCCCACGAGCACCACAAGCACGTAACAAGGGATGATGAGAGGCTTGAACGTCTGTAGCAGAGCCACATCTGCAAACTGGTAGCTGTGGTTGCTGGAATTGCTCTGCACTGCCACCTCATAAATATGTCCCTCTTCTTCCGCAGGTAGGGAAGGCTGCGTGCTCCCAATTGGACTACTGTAGTTAGCCTCCATAGAGGCAGAGCCGTCCATACGTGTTTCCTGCAACAAAACAAAAGCTGGTTTACAGCTGAACATCACCAACACCTCTAAAAGGTCAGACTGTCAGGTACCTGCAAATGTAAACAGCATGTTCAGAAAAAAAAAAAGTTCTTGACATTTAATAAATGGAAGATTGGTAACAGGAAAAGTATATTTTTAAAAACAGCAACACATTGACACAGTGAGAAGTAAAGAGCAAGGTACACTGAGGCAGATGTATATAACAGTATCTCATTGCGAATGCATAGAGGATCATCTTCCATCCTCCTATAAAATGTGTTTTAGAAATGCCACATGACAAAATTAGTCCTGATCTACATGCTGCAGGCTACAGAAAACATGTCATTATCAATCAGCTTGCTCCATTTGGCATGTTTAGCATCTGCAGATAGATTCAGTAAAGCTGAGAAACATCACTCTAATACTTTTCTTCCTTGTTAGCTTATTGAAACAATACTTTCTAACTGCTGTGTGTCATCACGTCAGTCGATCAGGAATAAATTAAGCTGAAAATGAATAGCAGACGAATGTTCATTAAAATATTTAAACACCAATACATATTTAAAGTATTCTTTTATGCCTCAGGCCTTATTCTTTCTACACCTGACAGAAATAGTCAAATTTAATCATTTTGAGCTTCCCACCTGTGAGGCCAAGCTGGCAAACGCATATTTATGCGCCACCTGAAGCGTTTTTCAGAAATTTTTAAAAACTCACCTTAGGGTTTGAAGGTTCTCCAGGCCAATTTTAATAGAGGGTAAAGCTGCTCTCTTTCTGTTATTATATTGCTTCATTTTTATTTTAATAAACCTGTATTGAAGATATTCCTCTACCATGCTGCAGGAGGTAAAGGGTTGTGCCCTCATTTTTGTGGTGACTGACAGACAATGCTGTGCATGAAAGCATTTAAATTATTTTACTATTGGCCTTAACCTTTTGTAAAACTTTTAACGTAATGAAGGCCTTTGATGACCTTCAACAGAATGGAGATCTCCCTGGTGGTACTAAGCTTTTATTTCAGCAGGGAGTTTTATTAAAAACGTTGGCCACTTATGCAGGATAGAGTCGCAGTATTTCCCCTTGAGGGCAGAAGCTCAGTGACTGCTCTTTATTTGCAGATGCTGCAAGCCGTTATGCACATGGATTGACTCACCTTCATGGGAAAAGTTACTGCCAATGTATTTTGCTCTCAGCTTAAGTTGTTGTGCAATTTTACTTATTTGATTATAGCTATTATATATACATATATTACTACTACTACTCTTCCTCACCCACTGTGGGAGGTCTCCCCCCTTTTTTCCTCGAAGCTCGGCTCCTCTACCAGAGGCCTGCCTGGGAGCCTGAGGGTTCTGCGCAGTATTTCTACTGTTCCTAGAACTGCACTTTTCTGCACAGAGATGTCGGATGTATTTCCCCAAGTACTCCAATGACCACGGGTACCACTGTTGCCTTGACCTTTCAGGTTTTCTCCAGCTCTTCTCTGAGTCCCTGGTATTTCTCTAGTTTCTCATGTTCCTTTTTCCTGATGTTGCAGTCACTTGGTATTGCTATGTAAACCACAAAGGCTTTCCTCTGCTTTTTGTCAACCACCACAATGTCCGGTTGGTTTCCCATTACCATTCGGTCTGTATCTGGAACTCCCTCACGATCTTGGCTCAATCATTCTCTACCATCTGTAGGGGTGTTTCCCACTTTGACCTTGGGGTTTCCAGCCCATTATCTGCACAGATGTTCCTGTATACTATTCCAGCCACTTAGTTATGGCGCTCCATGTAAGCTTTCCCTGCTAGCATCTTACACCCTGCAGTTATGTGCTCGATTGTTTTAGGGGCTTCTTTGAACAGTCTGCACCTGGGGTCTTGTCTGGTGTTGTAGATTTGGGCCTCTATTTCTCTGGTGCTCAGGGTCTGCTCATATGCAGCCATGATGAGTGCCTCTGTGCTGTCCTTCAGTCTGGCTTTGTCTAGCCATTGGTAGGGTTTCCTAATATCCGCCACTTTTTTTAATGTTACAGTGGTACATCCTGTGTAGGGGCTTATTCTCCCATTACATAACCTCCAGCTCTTCATCTTCTGTTCCCCATTGTCTGAGACATTAACTGAGCACTTGTCTATTGGAGCCTTGTCCTTGATGTACTTATGGATCTTGGATGTTTCATTCTGGATAGTGGCTCTCGCGCTCACTAGTCCTTGGCTTCCTTCTTTACGGCTAGCATACAGTCTCAGGGTGCTACATTTGGGGTGGTACCCGCTGTGCAAGGTAAGGAGCTTTCGTGTCTAAACATCTGTGGCCTGTATCAAATCTGTTGGCCAGCTTATTATTCCTGCCGGGTATCTGATTACTGGTAGAGCATAGCTATTTATTGTCCCTGACTTATTTTTGCCATTTAGCTGATTGCTTAGGATCTGCCTCACTTGTTGGAGGTATTTGGCCATAGTCGCTTTCCTTCTCAAGTCCTCAAGGTTGCCATTTGCTTTTGGGATTCTGAGGTACTTGTAACTTTCCCCAATGTCTTCTATTGTTCCTTCTATGAGTGAGATCCCTTCTGTGTGGACTACCTTCCCTCTCTTAGTCACCATCCTACCACTAGTCCAAATAGCATCCCAATGTCTGTGCTGAAGATCCGGTTGGTATGGAGTAGTAAGTTGATGTCTCGCTCATTCTTAATCTATTCTCTCAGCTAGTTTGAGAGCAGGATCTATAGCTATGACTTAGCACAGATGCATATCTGGGGCGTAAACGAATCAGCCTTATGTGTAGGCCTACTGTAAACACATCGAACGTGACGTGCTAACATGGATGTAGCTATACAGCCACCATTTATTTTTAAGAATGCCCATCAGCGTGGTTGAAGATGGTGGGCTAGAGCTTGTTCTCCAGGCAGCAACAGGTAAGCCATCTTACAAACAACCTGCAAGGTGAACTACAATGAGAATACACGACCTGCGCGCCACAGAGAAAGCCATGAAAGATGGGAAGTTGGTCGAGGGTTTGTGTTTAGCACTAAAGGGGGCCCACTGGACATCTGTCAATAATGAAAACTACCTCTGCGTCACTGTACACCGCATCGATGCCAGCTGGGAACTTACCTAAAACTTCGCTTTAGGTAGCCTATGTTATGTAATTTTAGATTTCATTTTACCACGACACCACGAATGATTACCACATTATGTTTGCTTCTTGATGGTTGCTTGGGTGAATGTGGGTAACGTGGGATGCTGTGCAAAAATGTTGGTTCAGTGGTATTATGTGATGCATTTTGGAAACAGGAGATGAGCCCCTGGTCTAATGTGTCACGGTGGGTGGAGGTTTGAAGGGAACCTAATGCATGCACTGAAGCTGAAGTGGTTTCTTGAAGAATAACAAAAAGGGTAACAGAAGCAAAAATCCAAAAACATATATCCACAAAATCCACAAAAACTAAGAGCCAGGAATACTCACAACAAGGGGACTGAGAAATGATGTCAAACCAGTTACAGTGACTGAGTAGTAGGTGAAAATATAAGAGAGAGAAGCAAAGACCAGGCTAATCAGCAGATTGGGAGCAGGTATGAACAGGAGTCAAGAAAAGAGCTAATGAAAAGGACACTGACGCAGGAGAGCAACAGAGGGCAAACAAGAAATACCTAAGAACTCATATCTAATCAAAAATAACCCGAATAACACAAAATGGAAAAAAAAAATGAAAACTCAAAGACAAAACCTAAACAGTGTTATGATCCTGGCACTGGAGCTGACTCTGTATCCAATTAACAATCTGGTTCAGTCTCCGCCCTCTCGGCAATCATCTCTACTGGTTTCACCTGACTCCACCTGCATATAAGCTCCGTCCTGATCAGCCTCCAGTGCCAGATCATTTCAAACTAGCCCAGTGAGAACATTCCAGCCTGTTTTTCTGAAAACCTTCCTGTCTGTCTGTCTGTCTGCTTGCCTGCCTGCCTGCCTGTTATCAAACTTGTCTTGTCTTCTGTTTTTTGAGCCTGCCTGACCCCTTATTGGATTGTCTGCCAGCCTGAGATCTGCTCTGTCAGCCTCTGGATTCCGAATTGATTACCTGTGCTTCTGACCTCTTTCTGTTTGATAGTACTGGAGCCTACCTAGATTAAAAAATGTATCTATGCCCACCTCTAATACACACACACACACACACACACACACCCACACACACACACACACACACACACACACACACACCCACCCACACACATATACCGGTATATATATATAAACAGTTATAGATATGGGTCATTCAGTTTTGACTAGTCAAAATCTACAGATATCTTGATTACGAGTTCTAACTAAGCAAACTTAGGTTGCAGTTATCAGAAATGAATGTCCAGTGTAGCTATTTAATGTTAAAATGGCTTTCCACAGTGTGCAGGGTTTAGGTTCACTAGACAAGTGCCCTGACACAAGTGCTATGGTACAGGAAGTCTTCAAGGTTGCAGCCATACACTCTGCATGCTCTTGCTAGGCCGGGGGTCAGCAACCAGTGGCTCCAAAGCCACATGCAGCCCAGTGCAGCTCATGCAGATTAGTAGTCACAACTTGCATCTTGCAGGTGTGTCTCAAACCATGGATTCCAAAGGGGAAAAAAAGAAGATAGCTAATGAGAAAAGAGGATTATCATTATCAATGACGAAGGATTGCCCGCATTTTTGCTTTGTAATGAGAGATTGTCAAAAAATAAAAATTTGGAAAGGCATTTCCAGGGAAGGCATGCAAAAGATGCGGCCGATCACTAAGTTGGGAGTGAGAGAAAAAGTGCGATTGCAGAACTTCTGGATTAATTAGAGGAGCTCAAAGATAGATATAAGAAGTGGATTGCATCTCCAAACTCCACTACTGCCGCTAGTTTTGTTGCAAGGATGGAAACCGTCCACGGATCAAACAGGCAGTACTCTGATGCAGGGATGTGAACTTTCTTCCATTTTCCCCCCAAATCCTAAAAATATAAATCACACCAAGAAACACTGGTGACCGAGGATGTGGGATTTCAG